TTTTTTTTTGGTGAGTGTGTGGGGGTGTAAGTAGTAAGTGCCGAACTCGCTCAGAAACAAATGTGGCACATACATAGTGACTCCGTATTTTTTCAAAAATTCACTAACCTCCTACATTTACCGGAGACGGCATTTTGTATGAAAGTATTAATGTCAAAGGGCAATATACACAAATGAATGAAATCAGAGGGGAAAATGCAGCACAAAAAAAAACTATGTAAATGTTTCCTTTTGATTTTATTCATACGTAGGTAGAGTACCTATATTGAGAGAGTATGGCCACTGGGCCCCATGGAGAGGCTTAGGACCCAAAAATGGCGGTGCTTTGTTTTGGTTTTTGTGGATGGGAGGGGGGTCATTGCCAACTTTTGACGGTTATCACCAACCGCACTTGCTGCCAACTTTACTACATCTAAGATAATTTTCCTCAAAAATTGCACACGATTAGCCTTAAAAATATGTAAAGATGTCGCAATAGTGCATTTGAGTAAATTTCTCGTTACGATAAGCAAAGAAAACTACATTTTGAGTCATTTTGCATTACATTAATTTATGGCGTCCGCCATTTTTGGGTCCTAAGGGCTCCATTTAGCCTAAGATGGCTGAGCCAATCAGAGGTGGTAACCCCAGTGGCCATACTCTATCAATATAGGTACTCTATACGTAGGTACCTCCTTTTAGCACGAATTCATCTACACGAGGAGGGATTTCCCTCTCCCACAATTTCCACCCACTATCTGAAAAGCGCTAACCCTCTGTTTACGGCAGAAAAATGAGAGAGTTGCGGGATCGATTGGGCGATGGTTCGTGGACTCATCGGTGCCGAAAATCTTTCAACATGCGCGCAACGCCACCAAAACCCCTTTCGGAAATATCCTCAAGCTCGCAGATGCGTGAACTTTCCGTCCGGTGTGGCAACGACCAGGCCTCCAAATAAACGACGGACAAATGCGTGGCCAGTGTTTGTGTCACTCGCATTAGCTACCGGAACGACCGCCTATTAATTTTTCGCGTGGAAAAGACGTAGGTGAAGCCTACGGCCCCGGCAGCGGGCAGCTCTCCTCTCCGCGCAAAGTAAATTCAATTACCGATGAAACTAACCGGAGCTCAGAATCAAAGTTCGAAGGCGGTTTATTGACTCGATAAAATTCGCTGCCGCGGAGACTCTCGGACGGGGCTGCCGATTGAGTTGTAAAAGTGTTCGTTTTTCGATAATGGAATCGTGTTTGAGTAGTGACGAATTAACCCGTGTCCCGTGTTGACGGACTCTGGTTTTTCGTGGAGCTCTCGTTTCTCAAATCGGAGGAAGAGGGAGGAAAATTGGAAAAAGAGGGAGAAAAAGAAAAGGACAAAGAAAAATAAACTCTCCTTCTTCTCTTCATCTTGTTATCCTTCTTTTTCATGTTCCACTGAAAAAAGTTACAGGCTATATAGCCGTACCGTTCGTTTCGGGCTCAGAGGCCGAAAGTTCCAGATCCTGGAGCNCTCTGAGTGCCACACCCCGAACTTTCGGCCACTGAGCCCGAAACGGACGGTATGGCTATATAGCTTGTAACTTTTTTTTCAGTGGAACATGTGGAAACATGTGGAACAGTGGAACATGAAAAAGAAAGATAAAAAGATGAAGAGAAGAAGTAGAGTTTATTTTTCTTTGTCCTTTTCTTTTTCTCCCTCTTTTTCGGATTTTCCTTCTTCTTCCTATAGCTTCTATAGCCTGTAAATACGGCTTCCACGGTTGGAGTTATTTTTTCAGTGTCCTCTCCTTTTTCTTCTTCTGCTTCTCTTTTCACCGATTTCTACTGCACTCTCATCTGACATACTTTATGAGTTCGAGGACCTAAGAATAAGCCCCTCAGACTGCGGGGCAAAGCACAGTGGCATAAGTTTTCTCATCAAAGTTGTGCTTTAAACACGTCTGAAACATCAAAAATTTGCAAATTCAACTCAAAGTAAGGAATCAGCCATATTGAATTGATTTAAAATTCCTTTTTGTCCAAAACTCATAATCTCCTTGCACCAAACTGGTCATTAAACGGTTACGGTGCCTTTATCGATGTAATATTGTTTTACGTGTCGAAATTCTCTTGGGAGTTTTTACCAAAACGCGGCGCTTCGGATTAGGAGAGAAAGTTTTGCTAAATTCAGAATTAATCTTTTGTCAAATGGTAAATTTGTTTTCTGAAACCTACCTCGCGGGCCCCCGTGAGTTAATATCAATATTACGAGTTCATTTAATGACTATTCAATGTCGATAGCCGAAAAAATCATGATAATCTTTTTAGATCTTTAGAACGGTCTATGACTTAAAATGAATTTAGGGGCTCAGAGAGCCAATGGTAATAATAACCATAAGACCTGCACAGGGGTTGGATAGAACGCCACCTCTGACGATTTGTTCACCTGTGCCATAGTATCGTACACTCAAAAAACAAGTATGGGAAGAGTGACTTACCGGCCAAGTTATGGATCATTGAGCCATGGAATATGGTTCGTCGAGCCAAGCTTATAGGGTCATGGCTCAGAAAGCCATGCTGTAGACGGTAAGTCACTTTGGTTAGAAATTATGAATCTCCGAGCCATTTTTATGGGTCTCAGAGTCATACCTTTTTTTGAGTGTACGTGTAGTGGGAAGCTCCAAAAGAAAAAAGAAAATCCAAATTTCTTACGCACACTGTGAAGTTAGGAGTGCATTTCAAACTTTGCCAATGCGCTCACCGTGCTTTTTGAGACATTTACTGATAGAGACAACTCTTATTTTTGCTCTAGCAAAAGTTTGCAACAGGCCCATGGGAAACTCCCACATGGCAGCAAGGCTCATTGATACTCCCATTACTACCGGTATAAAACTCGGCGCCCATCTAAAGCATTAAAACTGCTCAGTTGTAGTCATTGAGATCATGCAGTAACCAGGATGCTGCGCCCACATGCCTGTCATTTCCCCCTCTATTTTTATTCCTTTCAATCTTTGATTGTTATCACTCGACTTTCAATATCCTCTTGATGAGTGAAATGAGCATGTAAAATTCTCTGTGCTCTATTGTTAATTTAGGTTAATTTCAACATCTCAAAATAGACACGATGACTTCGCGATCCAGAGGAGCTTCGAAGTTTCGAGAGAGAAAGGGAGCTTTTCAAACTTGTTTGGCACTTTTTTAATTATGTCGCATTAATGAGGGGAAGAGGAGCGGTGTCGGTAAGTCCCACGACTCAAAAAAAGGTTGCGGAAACTTCCCCTAGAAAAGAGCGGTTGCGACCGTCAAGTGTGCGCCACGCCGGCACGTTTGTCTAACTTTCGGTATTTTAAAGTCAGGTGGGGGAAGGAAAGCGAGACACTTGCTTTTCTTTCTTTTAAAGTCGTAACAATGTCGCCTACTCCAGAACTCCTTTCCTAGAACAGTCGAGTTCTGGTTACATAGCTCTTAAATGGACTGCGTTAAACAGAAAGGAACCAAGCCACATCAGCTATTGCCAAATTTAATCGGACAATTTAATTTCTTACACGAAAACGGTTGTGCGGATTTTTGTGCAAATTTCAGTGAATTTTCTCCATAATACAAAGCAAATTCCTCAAAAATTTCAAAGGAATCTGCACAGACGTTCTCTCGTAAAAAATGTAATTTCCCTGTTAATTTAAGACAGTGTACATCCACCCGCAAGTGACTACACTGAAAAAAAAGATTGGTAGAATTTACTATTCCTTCACGCTGTATTTCATAAAGCGTCAAATTCAGAGTCAATTCTGCCAGAAGAAAGGTAAACGTTACTATATACTGGTATTACAGGTAACCATTCCTCCGGCAGAATCGACTTGAACATTGGTAGAATTTACTATTCCTTCACGCTGTGTGAAATACAGCATGAAGGAATGGAAAATTCTACCAATCTTTTTTTTTCCGCCAGAGGAAAGGTAAATGTTACTTTATACTGGTATTACAGATAACCATTCCTCCGGCAGAAGCGACTTAAACATTGGTAGAATTTACTATTCCTTCACGCTGTGTGAAATACAGCGTGAAGGAATGGAAAATTCTACCAATCTTTTTTTTTCCAGTGAACATACGAGAAAAATGACCAATTTTAAAGAAACACAGAGAAGAGAGTGTAGAATATATTTCAAGCCACGTCGAAACTTTATTTCATGCGAGACGGGTCATTTGCATGAGCCTGCGTTCTCAGCATTAAGTAGGAAATAAGGAATAGCCAGACGTATTTACGGCGGTCCAATTTCCATCTCGTGAAATAAGGAAGACAATAGATTATCCGAAGCAGCAAGTGGAAGGTAAACGAAGCCTCGAGCGCAAAGCCCAAGAGGATTATCGTAAAAAAGCTTACGTCCGATCGATTTCGTAGCCCTGCACGCAAACCTCTACATTATCAAACTCGATCACATCTTCTTTTATTTACAAATATATTCATATTTACAGGTGGATTTGAGCGCACGAAATCCCTTTATTTAATGAGATCGATAGCGAAATGTTCCAATCAACAAATCTTCGCTCTTCTGACGTAACAACGTATCTCAATTTCCATTTGAGCTCTATGCTCCGTATAACTCTTTGCTTTCCGGGGCACATACGGAATAAGAGATATGCGCTTACAACAAAGAAGCGACGCTATATGTGCATCTTTCCAGAGTCATCCGGACAGCTCGGTGCGTTTTGATCTCATTCGGAAATTATTCGGGATCGAAAAAATCCAATTAGACTTGCACATTACAGAAACTTTCAGCTTAGCTTAACAGTTTTAATTTAGCATACTAGTGAGGAAGTTAAGAGCGTCGTCGTGAATCGATTCCTAACTCAATCATGAGTCGCGACGCAGCCAAGCTGGTGCGCCTGCTCTCTAGCAAATTAGTCCAACTATTCAAAGGTTTATCATGGCCACGTTGAAACATTCTTTGTTTTTTCAAGCCAGTTCAACGCAAAAATTTTCAGCAGCACAGAGCGTCCTGTAATTTAAATGGGCCCTTGTGTACTTAAATGAAACATGCAGAATCTTACCCGAAGGCTTTTGTCGATATGAGAGGAGTCTTCAAGTTGAGGAATCCGTTCTTCTTTTTGTTGTTGGTGGTGACGACTTTACCGGAGCCGTCGAGTTGGGCGGTCAAGCGTTTGCCCTCGCCAACACTGCCTTCCTCTTCGTCCTTGGGACGGCGTTTGGTCCACCAAAAATACATGAGGACTGCGGCACCGACGGAGAGAACGATCACGACAATAGAAATAACAATCGTAACGATCACATCCCGTTTCTCCATCTCACTCTGAAAGAAAAACAAATGCAACGCTCATAAGAGGTACTGCGATAAAAGATGTGTGGAATCTATATTTATTTGAATAGACGTCATTATGTAAGATGCTGGAAAACATATCTGGTACTGAAGGTCGTAAGTGCTATCTCTGAAGACCAGTGGCGTGGCGTGCTTTGCGATATATCGAGTGTTATGCCATTTATACCCATGGAAAAGGATCGATAAACAGGATGTTCGCAGCGAACACAGTCATAATCGATTCTTTACCATGGGTTTAAATGGCATAACAATAGATATATCGCAATTCACGCCACGCCACTGCTGGAGACATAAAATGGGTTCCGCGATCAGGGGCCCTTGGCCGTTGGTTGTGTGATGGCTCTTAAAGCCGGAACTTTCGGTCTCTAAACTCGGAAAAATTTTTACGTCTGTACTTTGCCGTGCGTGCTTTGGGAAACGCAGTGTGAGCCTTCAGACATTGCCGCAGTTCCTTGGCAATTCAAGTATATTCGGAAAAATTTGTAAATATTTTTCCTCCAGTTTTTCAGAGAATTTTGTTCTTATGTAATCGATCTAAGTGGTCAGGGTCGGATTTACCTACTTGCCGCCCATGGGCCGCCTGTATTTTGCCGCCTTCTTCTCATTCGTTTTGAAACATCAATAAAAACCATCAAGTGAACGTGCCAGAGGGGGAGGAGTGTATAAGACGCGTTTACCTACTCGTCTTGAATACATTTTTTGCGAAAGCCCTGTCAACACCACTAGCAAAATTTCACGGAACTTTGCACGAAATTTAAGTTCTGTAAACCTATCTCTGTGTGGACAAGGTCCTCCATTAATGAGAAATAAACCAAAAAATTATGAAAGAACAAACATAAATGTGTTATAATAATCTTGACTTCCGCCGCGGCCGCTGCGCCGCGCTGATCGCACTGTGTTTGGCGCAATGCGTGAAGTATTCCTGCAGTCTTGTAGGCGCTATGCGTTTTACGCCAACCGCTTCTGACCGCAAGGTGTTTGGCGCAATGGGTGAAGTATTCATGCAGTCTTGTAGGCGTTAATATGTGTTACATGCCGATCACCCCGCCGAGAGCTTGTTCTTTTCACCTCAAGTCCTCGTCATCATTTCTCTCTGCGCTAAGCTCCAGGCCAAGTTGCGTGTTTAGTTCCTCTCTTAACTCGACTAATTAAAGATGCTGTCTCTTGCATGTATCACCGAAAAACGACACAATTAGAATTTACTAGACTCTCGGGAAAGAGAGGTTTTGTTCCCTTTTCTCATTGATAACTTTTTTTCTGAATCCGATTTATTTATGCCTACATTTAAATAAATTGCAAAATTTGCCGCCCTCTAAATTTGCCGCCGTGGGCCACGGCCCATGTGGCCACCCCCTTAATCCGGCCTTGCAAGTGGTCTGACATTTTTAAGAAAAAATATTCAAAAGTTTCTTAAAAAATAAGGGGTTTTCTGAAAGGAAATTTGGCGACTCTCGTATGATCAAATGGAGTTTTTCCTTAGCACGGCAGTACAGTCCATATTGCCCATACAGTTCGTTCTTGATGCGACTCGGTGCTTTTCGAATGAACTCAATCCAATTTTAAGAGTCTAACTTTCCTGTATACATTTTTCCCATTAATATAACCCATCGCGTAAACGCAATATATTTTAATTGCAAATACAAAGCAAACAACAGGAAGACAATTTATATACGACAACATTTGGTTGAAGAAAGAAATATATTCCATTCAAACGTAGAAAATGATTTAAGTTTTGGAGCTCACGTAGAACATTTTGTCATTGTAGGAGACGAATCAGAAAATTTGCTTTTATAATAAATGATATGGTGAAAAGTGTCAGTTCCTTTGGTACGAGGGCAACTCGCAAAGTTACGTAACATCAAATAAGATTAACGAAAAAAACGTGTCTTGACAAATAGGGAAGAAAGGAAAAATGCGCGATACTACCGGGTTATTTTAAGAAGCTACGGAGACAAATTTAGACTTTTTTTTATAACGGTATCGTAACCGTGCTAAATGACATTAACTCTCGGAAATAATGCGTTTCATGTGAATTTTTATGAGATCGTAAAGAAGCTTTTGCGTTGTTTCACTCTGCACATTCGCTCAGGGTTTATTGCTCTTTGCGAAAGGTTTAAACAGATAAAGATTTCACCAGAGACGAAAAGCCGTTGTCCACCGAGGTCTGTGAGCATTAAACAAACGAGCATCCCTCTGTGGAATCAACTATCAGAAACGAAATCAAATTACGATGGCGAAAAACCCCTATTTACGTAATGTGGGTTTTCCGCGGTCACGACAAAGTTGGAACGATTTGCTTCAAAGTTCGCCTCATATTATATGATTACTGCAATTAATGCACTGTGAGCGAAATCTGCAATCCTCATTGGAGGTGATTTTTGGAAAACCGCGAAAAACTGTCACCTGACTTCCACCAGGATCGGACCAGGACTTTAAATTTTAATCATTTGAATGACAAGATTTTACTAATTTGAATCCTTTAGGATAATATATTATTCTGAAAGGCCGTAGCTTAGTGAGCAATAACCAATTATTATCCCATTTTTTGAAGAAAAAGTGGAGATTGTAGACTTTGATCCTCAGGACCTAAATTTTTAATGTATTTTTTTAAAATTATAATTGCTGAGGCTTAAAGCCTGATGCAGCTACCCTGATACGTCATTATTTTCTTGTCTTCGCGATATTACTTAAAATGTAAGGGTAGACAAATCAATATTTAATCACAAGACATAATTGATTACAACCGTAATGTCATGTCAGCAAATTATTATCAATGCATGTCTCAGAATAGATTGAAAGAAGATGCCACGGAGAGATAGAATGAGTAAAAATATAGTGATTAGTTTGGGTTGCATAAACTATTAATTAATTACTTAGTGTCATTACTTGACGTGTATTAGAATAATGTTACGAGGAGGGCAAATCCATATTAACGAATTATTTTCTACTGAATTCCCTGACGAGGGCAAACGTTAACAATCTTGGACGAATTCAAAAAAACAAATCTTTTACGTATGTAAGTGTTGACTGTTCAAACTAGCAAATGGACCGCGTCTAGCAGAAAGGAACCAAGCCACATCAGCGACTTTCAATAAAGTATAAGAGAAATTAAATTTTTACGAGAGAAGATTTTTGCAGATTTTTTTTTAAATTGCAAAAAAAAAAATGTTTTCGTGCTTTGCAGAAAATTCACCGAAATTTGCAAAAAAAAAAATTCGCTCAACCGCTATAGCTGAATTTGGCAATCGCTGATGTGGCTTGGTTCCTTTCTGCTTAACGCGGTCCAAATAGTACTGGCTACCACTAAAACCATTATTCATTTAACAAACTAGTGGTTTTACCACACAGTTACATTTTATCAAAATTGCAGAAAAACAGAGAGATGGGTTAGATTCTCACTTTGAGCGCTGAAGAGGGCTTTAAAATTTCTCATCCTACAGGCGTAAGTTACTTTTTTACTTGGCCACCTTCGGGGGTTCAAGAGGTTAGAGGCACAGTTCTAAAAGAGTTTCCATACCAAAGCTTCGTGGGCCGGGGAATGCGGGTGACGCACAGTGGATCGGAACAATGGGGGTGATCGGACAAAATTAGGAAACTTTAAAACCTCATAACTCCGTTCATACAAAATTTTAAGGTTTAAAAAGTGGTTCCATTTGTTTCCTCGTGAAATTTTCTTCTGCATTCATTCCTTGTTATTTAAAATGTGACGAAATCAACGTCACAATTTGCAGTTTTAGTCAAAAATTTCATTTCCGAGCTTTCTGATTGGCTGGATCCACTGTGTGACGCGGGCATACTTCCAGCTTCGAGTGCATGCTTATCCTCACCGTTGAATTCAATTGTCAGCAAAGAGCTTATATTGCAGCGTAAATTGGGATGATAAACGACAAATTTATGCAAACAGAACGTATAATATTTCTCTCCGACCGTTTGGCTCCTTCCCATCAACCTCAACGAAAAGGATCGATCCTCCGTACCCTGAAACTTTTTTCCTGGCGGGGGAACTCCGTGGTGGCGAAATGAGATAACATTAGGAAGAAACAACCTCAGATAATAATGTCAATACTGATGCAGGAAAAAATGTGGACGTATTTGAATTTATAAACGATTTCGTCGAGCTTGTCGTCGGATTTTTTCTTGAGTAAACAGCGCGCGGATTGTGATTACTCGTCCTCTATACTGCCGAGCTAAGGAAAAACGCCGTATGAACCTTCAGACGTTGCCAAATCTTCATTTACAAAACACGAATTTCCTGGTAAACTTATAAATATTTTCATTCCAATTTTTCAGATAATGTAGTTTGCAATTTCACCTAAAGTTCCTGAAAATTTCAAGGAAAAATGTTCATAACTTCCCTCAAAACTAAACGTTTATTGAAGGAAATTTGGCAACTCTCGAATGTTCATACGGCGTTTTCCCTTTCCACGGCAGTATAACAAGTGCCCTCCTCATTTATCAAGGTGCACTCGTTTACTCCAGACGGGATTCACTTCAAAAATCCATTAAAATCCCGGGGGAGAAAATTAATACTCTTCCACGAATCGATCTCTTAACTTGAAACATTAATTAGAGGCAGTATTGATTGGAATACCACGCCTCTCGGTCTTGGATAAAGAAAATATGGTAGCGAGGGGCTGAAAATCTTCTTCGATTATTCATTCGGTTTACATTTTTCATTAGACTCTATTCATTTTCGAATTTCTTCATTCAATATAATTTCTTTATTGCTTTATTTATTTATTTATTTGGACGCATTTAAATAAAAAGAAATTATATCCATGGAGATATGAGCCATATGAGGCATGTATTCTTATAGGCTTCAGGGCTCATGTCGAAAAGTATACAGTTCCTTTCGATTTAAGTACGTCCGTTCATTTGTCGTTTTTAGTTTGAAGACTTAAACATGATCACCCGTGAATTAATTCCTTCAGCATGTGTTTTCTCATAAATATTCTCATCCATAGTAATTGCTG